ACATAGCTGCTCACCGCGACTACGAGCTGCACTCTCTTGACTTCAGCACTGCTTTCTTGCAGGGCAGCCTGCACGAGGAGATCTGGCTGCGTCGCCCACCTGGCTTCACTGGGTCTTTTCCTCCTGGCACCCAGTGGAGCCTCCGGCGGCCAGTCTACGGTCTCCGCCAGGCACCGCGTGAGTGGCACGACACACTGAGGACTACACTTGCGGCTCTTGGGTTTGCTCCCTCTACTGCTGACCCGTCGCTGTTTCTGCGCACCGACACTTCTTTGCCGCCGTTCTACATCCTCGTGTACGTCGACGACTTGGTCTTTGCCACAGCTGACACTCCTGGACTCGCCCACGTGAAGTCCGAGCTGCAGAAGAGACACACGTGCACAGACCTGGGTGAACTGCGCAGCTACCTTGGCTTGCAGATCACCCGGGACAGAGCACGCCGCACCATTACCCTGACTCAGTCACACATGGTGCAGCAGGTCCTTCAGCGCTTCGGCTTCACGTACTCCTCGCCTCAGGCCACTCCTCTGCCTACTCGCCACTCGCTCTCAGCTCTGCCTTCGGATGAGTCCGTAGAGTCGAGTGGCCTGTACCCAGAGCTTGTTGGCTGCCTCATGTACCTGATGACCTGCACACGACCTGACCTCGCATACCCTCTTAGCATTCTCGCACGCTATGTTGCTCCTGGGAGACACAGACCGGAGCACATGGCTGAAGCGAAGAGGGTGTTGCGTTACTTGTGCAGTACGTCGGGCATGGGGCTTGTGCTTGGAGGGCAGAGTCCAGTGGTCCTCACTGGGCACGCAGGCGCTTCTTGGGCTGACGACCAGGCTACGCAGCGGTCGTCACAGGGTTACACCTTCAGCCTTGGTTCCGGCTCTGTTTCGTGGCGGGCTACCCGCTCGTCTTCTGTTCTCGGCTCCAGTTGTGAGGCTGAGATCTACGCCGGGGCCATGGCTGCACAGGAGCTTCGCTGGCTCACCTACCTGCTGACTGACCTCGGAGAGCCGCCTCGTTCTCCTCCAGTGCTGTACGTAGACAACAAGGCCATGCTGGCCTTGTGTCGAGAGCAGAGACTGGAGCACAGAACGAAGCACATTGCTCTCCGCTACTTCCTTGCTCGTGAGCTACAGCAGCGTGGTCAGCTGCGGCTTGCGTACGTGGCCTCTCAGGCCAACACTGCTGATATCTTCACCAAGGCACTTGCGCCTTGTGATCATCAGCGCTTCTGTACTCAGCTGGGTCTTGTGCCTACCTTGCCTCACTTGCTCACCCCTTCACCTTGTTTGTACTGTTGCATATATATATACACCTGCTCTTGCTTGTCTAGCCTTATATATATATGTAATCCTGCATGTGAACTGGCCTTGTGGCCTTGACCTTGTGCTCGGAATGTGTGGTGACTTTGTGATCCACCCTGAGCTTGCTTTGCTTTGCTTGACTGGTCTTGTGACCCCTTGTTCTCCCCCACTTTGCCTATGGGGGTGTGTCAGATTTATATGACATAGCTACTGTAGGCTATAGTGGGGTAGCACATATGGGGTACAGTTTTCTAGGGTTCACATTTGTACCCAACTTTCCCTTAGTCATTCATCATTCCTCGTTTCTTCTCACGCGGAGGGCGGCGACGAGCCGTAGGGGGCCGTGAGGGGCCGCGGGAGGGGCCGTAAGGGGCGTAAGGGGCCGCGCGAGGGGCCGTAAGGGACGGCGCGAGGGGCCGTAAGGGGCGGCACGAGGGGCCGTAAGGGCGGCGCGACGGGCGCGACGGGCCGTAAGGGCGGCACGAAGGGCCGTAAGGGCGGCGCGAAGGGCCGTAGGGGGCGGCGCGACGAGCCGTGAGGGGGCCGCTAAGGGCGACGCGACGGGGCCGTGAGGGGCCTAGCGAGGGCGCGGCGGTAGGGAGAGCACACAGGGCGCGACTCGGGCCTGAGCGAAGCGCGCTCCGGGCAGGAAAAAAAAAATTTCGTGGTGGTGGGCCCTAGGAATCGTTCCCACTAGGGAACCTGCTCGATACCATGAGAAGAAACGAGGAATGGGAATGACTAAAGGAAAGTTGGGTACAAATACAAACCCTAGAAAACTGTACCCCATATGTGCTACCCCACTATAGCCTACAGTAGCTCTGTCATATAAATCTGACAGCATCGTGAACAGTGGCGGGAATGGTGTCGAGGCGAATGTCGCGAGTGGTAACGGGATGTTGTGGGGTGCTGTCAGTGTTGTACGCGCTGAGCAGGGACACGAAGTAAGGAAAAGGAATTTTCCTTACATATCGTAAGAATGCAAGTTCAGGTTCCAGCGCCGTCCCAAAGTTTTTCGGCATCGCAAGGAAAAACCTCGCTACGGAGGATTCGGTATTAGTGTAATGTACAGTGTACCCTGATACCGCCAGGGTAACCAAAATCGCTATCAGTGTAAACCGAAACTTAGCCTGTTTGCTCTAGGGTAAAAAGTTTGATTCCCTGTTTTGAAAAGGGTAACTGGGAAAAAGCGGCCGCCCATCAGGGCAAACAGGGTATTTTACCCTAATAATTTGGGCCCTGTTGATGAGGGCAATTTGGAGACAAAACCTTGGAAGCATTGCGATTCAGGGGTTTGGTGTTGCTGAACGGTGGCTGGTGTCTTTGTTCCATTATTTCTTTGATTAGCACAGGATTGTAGATATATGTACTTTAAATGCTATTTCACAAAGCAATCCTACACTACAGTGTTATGTGAACTGTAAGGAGATTTCTAATCCTTTACGGAGTCACTCTGTACGTAACTTTCGGAATATCAGGCTGGTCGTCGACTCGTCGCCTTCAGACTCCACAACCCAAGACCAGCACCCAACCTTATCTCTCCAAGGTTCCCGCCTTGTGTGGCTGGCAGGCAATCTCACTTGTCTGGCATGATCAGGTCAGGTAAAGCAGAGGCATTGCCCCCTTTGCTTTGGCCTCTTTGGCATGATCAGGTTAGGTGCGTCATTGGCCGAGTGGGATGTTGCCAATCTGGCGGGTTCCATCAATTGGCTGGATTCACGTGGGATGGTTCTACTGAACTGTATAGCGCGTATGCTAGATGTCCGTCGAAACTCGAGAGCTTGACATGACATACGTTTGGAACAGGAAACGTTTCTAAGCCCAGGAAACGTTCGAAACAGTGAGGCCGAAAGTTTTGTGGAGTTATGGAATGCCTGGCCGTACTTTTTGGAATGCCCTGGCCGTCTACTACCTAATCGCGAAACAGATACAGTCACTCATGGCGCGGTTCTTGCGGGGGGAAGCTGGGACGGGGGAACTGGGGGGAGTTGCGGGTAACTACCGTAGATTAGGGCGGGGCAGCGGCGGACAACCGGCTCCACCACCGCGCGCCTTTTCCCTTCAAGGATTCGTTGTCATTCGCGACAAGTTGTCAGCCAAGAATGTGCGTTCACGTGCCATTCTCGCCAGGCCACCCATTTTCTCTCTTTTGTGGCTGCAGAAGTCACTCGTTTGTGCGGCCAACTTCGATTAGACGTTTGTTGCTTGTCTGTTTGAGAGTTTGGTTGTTGTGTGTGGCTGGTTGGCGATGTCACTGGGACCGATTTAGGTCAGGTGCAGCCATCGTCCGTGCGGGATGTGGCCAATCTGGCAGGCTCCATCAATTGGCTGAGTTCGCTTCACGCGTAATGGTGGTACTGGCAGTGCGTATAGTATATACCACACTGAGACGGCTCCCGGAGCCGTTCAGGTGAACAGATACCCGTGATGCTGGTATTATCTGTCCCAAATGACTCCTGAAGGCACTGTTTGGTACGGATTCACAACGTTTGAAGCTGGCGGTGGTAGTACGGCCACATACTAATGAGACGGCTGCTCGAGCCGCCGTTCCCGTGATGGTGGTATCTGTCCCATATGAGTCACTTGAAGGCTCTGTTTGGGACCGGTTCACAACATTAAAGTTGACGATGGTATCTACCACATACTAATGAGACGGCTGCTCCCCGAGCCGCCTCGGGCTGGGTTCCTGTACAGCACGCTCGGCGGAAAAATTTCCCCCATCAGCGGAGTCCTCCCGCTGCGGACCCCTCCAAGGCTGGGCTAAGTTAGGTTTTGCTGGCGGCGGCCTGGGGCCTCCGGCGCGAGAGAGATGCGCATCATGTTTCCTCGTTTTGGTGTAACCTTTCCGCGGCCTCGCAAGTATTCAGCTTCCGCGGAAGTTCCGCGTCCTCATTCCTCGTAGTACTAAAAGCCGCGAAGCCCATAGCTTTGCTTACACTTCCCGTCAGTAACCCAGATCGACCCATGCCTTGGCCTTCTATGCTCCACGATCGCCGCCGCGCTCTCTCTCGCTCGCCGCGCTCTCAAGAGCGCTTTCTGAGGAACATGGTCACCATCATGCCAACTTCCGGCTGCGGCCGCCGCATTGGGCTTGTCTCGCTGCTGGCGACTCTGATGATCGTAGCAGGTGAGAACTTTGATTAAAGGAGTTAAATCTCCTGTTATAGTAATCGTAATCAGCGTCGTTGCAGGTGAATTGCCGTTCCAAGTCATAGCAGCGCAGCCAATGATCGCTGCTGCTGCTGACTGTCGCCGACGATGGTCGGTGCTGATGATGATGCGGTCGTGGTGATAGTCGCCCACCCATGATCGTGATCGTCGCCCGGCGATGGTGATCATCGCCAGTGATGAGCCACGCACATGGTTCTCGTGATAGTTGCTGCCGTCAACTGAGAATAACCGTCGCCATCGTCGCTGGTGAGGGTCATCGCTGGTGAGGGTCGTCGCTGGTGACAATCGCCGCAATGCCTCTCCTCTTCTGCCGCCTGTCTTTCCTTCCTCCGCCCCAACCGAGTTGCATTCACCAGACAGAGGCTGATCGTCTGATTGCCACTACTATGCCTCTCTTCTGGTTGTCAAGATCCTTCCTTCCTTCACCAGGCAGAGGCTGATCTTCTGATCTCTATCTCCAACTCCCCTCTCCTCTCCTCACTCTACCCTCTCTCTCCTCTCCTCTCCTCCCCTCCCCTGTCCCTCCAGCCTCCATGCCTCACGCCAAGGCTCTTGTCCTGTCACCAGCCTGTCCTCGGGGGAAAGTGTGGAACGCCGACGTGCAAATCTGTGTCTGTGAGTTGATGCACTCTGCTGCCGCCACTCCTGCTGCTGCCGCTGCTGCTGCCGCCATTGCCGCTGTTGCTGTCGGCACCATTGCTGCTGTTGCTGCTGCCGTCTCAATCTATCCTGCAAGATCTCTCTCCCTGCTGTAGATCCTTCAGAGAGCAACAACCCTAGCCAGGCTTGCTCTAGCACCACCTTGTTCTCCTGCCTCTCTCTCACCCGCCCAATCCTCTGCGCCCGTCTACCCCCTGCGCTGTGCTCCTCTGTGCCGTGCCTCCACCAGCCACGTGCCGCATTGCCAGGGGATGCCGGTCCAATTACTGCAACAACGGACTCTGCTTGTGCCGGCCTGGTCTAGTCATGCTCCCCGATGGAAGATGTGCCAGTGAGTGACTATGTTGATGGCTGGTGTGATGTGATGTGAGTGACTATGTTGATGGCTGGTGTGATGTGAGTGACTATGTTGATGGCTGGTGTGATGTGAGTGACTATGTTGATGGCTGGTGTGATGTGAGTGACTATGTTGATGGCTGGTGTGATGTGAGTGACTATGTTGATGGCTGGTGTGATGTGAGTGACTATGTTGATGGCTGGTGTGATGTGAGTGACTATGTTGAGGGTGATAGTCGCCCACCCATGATCGTTATCGTCGCCCGGCGATGGTGATCATCGCCAGTGATGAGCCACGCACATGGTTCTCGTGATAGTTGCTGCCGTCAACTGAGAATAACCGTCGCCATCGTCGCTGGTGAGGGTCATCGCTGGTGAGGGTCGTCGCTGGTGACAATCGCCGCAATGCCTCTCCTCTTCTGCCGCCTGTCTTTCCTTCCTCCGCCCCAACCGAGTTGCATTCACCAGACAGAGGCTGATCGTCTGATTGCCACTACTATGCCTCTCTTCTGGTTGTCAAGATCCTTCCTTCCTTCACCAGGCAGAGGCTGATCTTCTGATCTCTATCTCCAACTCTCCTCTCCTCCCTCTACCCTCTCTCTCCTCTCCTCTCCTCCCCTCCCCTGTCCCTCCAGCCTCCATGCCTCAAGCCAGGGCTCGTGTCCTGCCACCAGCCTGTCCTCAGGGGAAAGTGTGGAACGCCGACGTGCGAGTCTGTGTCTGTGAGTTGATGCACTCTGCTGCCGCCACTCCTGCTGCTGCCGCTGCTGCTGCCGCCATTGCCGCTGTTGCTGTCGGCACCATTGCTGCTGTTGCTGCTGCCGTCTCAATCTATCCTGCAAGATCTCTCTCCCTGCTGTAGATCCTTCAGAGAGCAACAACCCTAGCCAGGCCTGCTCTAGCACCACCTTGTTCTCCTGCCTCTCTCTCACCCGCCCAATCCTTTGCGCCCGTCTACCCCCTGCGCTGTGCTCCTTTGTGCCGTGCCTCCACCAGCCACGTGCCGCATTGCCAAGGGATGCCGGTCCAATTACTGCGACAACGGACTCTGTTTGTGCCGGCCTGGTCTAACAAGCTCCTGCCCCACTTGTTCAAACTGCCTCCATCTCTCTTCCCAGATTCCTGTGATGGTGTGGAGTGCGGTCCCGACTCTTCTTGCAACTCCGACGCTGAATGCATTTGCAACCCCGGCTATAACACGCTACCTGATGGCACTTGCACTGGTGCGTGTTCCCCCTCTCCCTCTCTCTCCCTCTCTCCCTCTACCCCCTTCCCTCTGGAGGGGGAAAATGCTCACGTTGGGACTTGACGTGTCACTCACTCACTCTCGCACTCTGTCTGTCTGTCCCACGCTCTGGCACTAGATTTCTGCTCAAATTCTCTCCTTTTCTCTTCCCCCGCTCTCCCCCTCCCCCGTCCCAACCCCCCTCTCTCTCTCACTCTCTTTCTCTCTCCTTCCCTCCACACTCTCACTCCCTCTGACCTTACCATGTACCAGAATCGTGCAGCATCAAGACGTGTGGCGCTGGGGAAGAGTGTCTGGATTTCAGCGGCGACAACGGCGAGTCGGTCTGCAGATGCCTCGATGGATACGTTGGGGAGCCTGGATCTTGTCTTGGTACGTAGTGTGCATATTGATGCCCCTCGCCCCCTCTCCCGCACTCTCTCTCACGATTTCTTGCCCAACATGCGCCCTGGTAGGGAACTCGCCTCTTCCGCCTCTTCCACCTTCTTTTCCCCCCGCTCTCCCTCTCCCCCGTCCCAACCCCCCTCTCTCTCTCTCTCCTCCCCTCCACACTCTCACTCCCCCTGACCAATGACCATTTACCAGAATCGTGCAGCATCAAGACGTGTGGCGCTGGGGAAGAGTGTCTGGATTTCAGCGGCGACAACGGCGAGTCGGTCTGCAGATGCCTCGATGGATACGTTGGGGAGCCTGGATCTTGTCTTGGTACGTAGTGTGCATATTGATGCCCCTCGCCCCCTCTCCCGCACTCTCTCTCACGATTTCTTGCCCAACATGCGCCCTGGTAGGGAACTCGCCTCTTCCGCCTCTTCCACCTTCTTTTCCCCCCGCTCTCCCTCTCCCCCGTCCCAACCCCCCTCTCTCTCTCTCTCTCTCCTCCCCTCCACACTCTCACTCCCCCCCCTGACCAATGACCATTTACCAGAATCGTGCAGCATCAAGACGTGTGGCGCCGGGGAGGAGTGTCTGGAATTTGGTGGCGTCAACGGCGAGTCAGTCTGCAGATGCCTCGATGGATACAGTGGGGAGCCCGGATCGTGTGTTGGTACGTAGTGTGCTTTTCTGTCTGCATATTTGCCCCTCGCCCCCTCTCCTGCACTCTCTCTCATGCTTTCTTGCCAGCAACATGCGCCCTGGTAGGGAACTCGCCTCTTCCACCTTTCAACCACTCGTCCGCTCTATCTTATCTACACCCGTTCGTCCCCTCCATCCGCCAGAAACCTGCTACGTCACAGGCTGTGGCGAAAATGAGGAATGTGATAACAACGGAGGGCTTTACGAATGCACATGCAAGGATGGGTGCACGCGGAAAATGGATCGTGTTCTTTCACACCCCCTCTCTTAGTTCTTTGAATCCCAAGTCTAAACTCTCCTCTGCAAACTCCTTTTTCAAACTGCCTCCGTTTCCCCTCCCAGATCTCTGCGATCGCATAAACTGTGGCACCAACTCTTTCTGCAAGGCGGGTATATGCGGGTGCAACGACAACTACGTCATTTCGCCATTTGGCAATTGCACTGGTGCGTGCTCGCTCTCTCGCTGTCAAGAACAATCACTGATCGCCTATCCCGGGGCACTAGACCCAGGGGGCTCAACCACATAAAGGACCTGCTCAAAGCTATGGAACTGAGAGACCAAGCTATGGGACTGGGCCATGAGACTGGCCCCGGCGTCACCTGGCGTAACTTCGACTGGAGGACGACGGCTTGCTGCCTCTCTGGCGCATGCCAGACCACCAGCGGCTGCTGCCTATGATCAGTACATAGGACGGAGGGAGAAGGATCATCGGCGCAACCCTGCGCAGAAGGACCAAAGGAACTCGCCTATCAGAAGAGCGGCACACTTCCTCATCCCCCCCCGTGCCTTGAGTGAGAGTCATGCTTGCAATCCAGCTGCCCTCACTGCCTCTCCGTTGCTGCCTCCCGTGCCTTTCCCTCCCTTCGCTTCCCCTTCCCCCTCCCTTCCCCTCAGAGCCATGCGCTGTGGACAACTGCGGAACGAATGCCTTGTGTTTCCTGGATGCATCAGGGAGTGACACGTGTGCCTGCAAGGATGGGTACACCAGGACTCCCAGTGATGCCTGCATGGGTGAGTGTTGTTGCAGTCGCTGCATGGCTGGCTGATGTGCCTGTCACCTGTGGCACAGGGTAAGTGCCTGCCTTGTTCATGCTGTTGTCTTATGCCTCACCCGTTCCGTTCGTTTCAACTTCCAACCTCTCCCTCCCTCCCTCCTTCGCCCTCTCCTTTCCTCTCTCCTCCACCCAACTTCCCATCCCGATCGCTCACACTCTTTAAAATCCTCCCTTGTTGACCCTGAGGCCCCGCTTTCTCTTGCGGATCCGCCCTATCTCTCGCTTATGTCTTCCTCCTCTTTGATCTTCCTTCCAGACTCGTGCGTTGTGAAGGGATGTGGTGCCAACACCACGTGTGTCAAGGGCAAGCGTGACCTGGCATTATGCATCTGCAATCAGGGCTTCAGAAATGTGTCCGGGGAATGCATTGGTACGTAAATTAGAATGCTGGCTGCGTGTCTCCCTATTTCTGCAGGAAGGCAAGTGCGCAAGGCAAACTTGCTACGCCTTTTCTAAAATACCTTGCCAGTGGTGCATAATATGGTTTTTATAACTTCAGATAAGGGCATTGGTATTTTACAGCTGGGGATAATATGTTTCGGAAATGCATTATTAATGTACAGTTTTTATCTTGGCTTGGTTCGAGAATATTCATCATCATTGTCTTTCGCCCTTACCCCTCACTTTCCCTGCTTGATCAATCTTGCATGATCATTCTCTTTCTATACATCTATTATCCCAAAATCTCATATCACTTGCAACCGTTTTCTCATTGTCCTCACCCTCCTTCACGTTCTTTCTTATCATTGCCACCCCTCCCGTCAGATGTATGCGAACTCTGTGATTCCCATGCTACATGTGAGACGGACCAGCGAAGTGGAGATAAAACCTGCCGTTGCAACGACGGTTACTACATGCTACCGAATAACACCTGTGCTGGTGCGTATATTTGGCCTCCTTCACTTTACCCCATCCCCAATACTCGCTCTTGGTCTCACCACCCCTCACCTCCTTTAGCAATGGAAGCACCCCTTACCCTCCCTCCTCCCCCCTCTCTCAAATGGTCCTGTGTTTGAACGCACAACCGCCGCTCCCCCCTCTCCATTCTGCCTCCCCCCTTCCCCCCCCCCTCTCCCCATGATCCCTCTCTCTTCCTTCCATTCCTTCGCCAGCAACATGCATCGCCACGGGCTGTGACTTGGGTTCTAGCTGCGTTGGAGACGTTGCTCAAGACATGTATTGCGCTGGTACGTGACATTTCGAGACGTCTCAGGGCGGTTGGTTGGAATGGCTCTACTTCATCCTCTTTCTCGTGCATTTTCTTGCCCGCCTTCCTCTTTCCGTTCCGTTCCATGCTTGGCAAGTTGGCATCATTAATACTTGTAGAGCATCTGACCTTTTGGATTTTGAGAGTAAAAAATTCACACAAAATGCATTTCCCCCATGCCGTGCATTTCCTGATAGTACCGTGAGATAGAGCTTTGGGGTGGTCGAATACCTCCCTTCCTTCTCAAATGGTACTTACTTGCGTTTTTCCAACTGTTTGTTTTTTGAATCCTCCCTGTCAGATAATTGCAATTTCAAGGGATGCCACGACTCGGCTATGTGTGTCAAGGACGCTGTATCTGGAAAGGCATCCTGCCAGTGCAGCGCAGGCTCCACCATGCAATCTGATGGAAGTTGCAAAGGTGTGTATTGGTGGTTTCCTTTGCTTCACGTGACGCCTACTTGGTGCTTCCTCCTAGGGATGAGCAAGGGGCGAACACGAACATGTTCGTGTTCGCCCCTACACGAACACATTCGTTTGCCGAACCGAACACTGTTCGGTTCGGCGAACACTTTAAGCAAAAACAGGTGTTTGCCGTTCGCCTGTGAAGGCGTGTTCGGGCGAACCTCGAACACGTTCGTGTTCGTCGCGGGGCAAATTGCAGCAGCGGCCCGAACACGAACGTGTTCGGGCGAACCTCGAACACTGTTCGGCGAACAATTTAAGCAAAAAAAACAAACCTGTTCGGTTCGCCTCGAACACGTTCGAGGCGAACCGAACAGGTGTTCGCCCTTGTGCTCATGTCTACTTCCTCCCTAACCCTCGGTAAGAGACAGATCACAAGTGTTGTTTTGTGGCTCCTCAAAGCTGTCGAGAGATTGCGACCAAATCTGCCTTTTGTGTCGGTACTTAGCATACCTCTTCATTGATGTTGCACTAAATTATCTTACCTCTCATCCCCTTCCTATCTACCCCTCTCTCATCCCCGTTTCTCGCCATCTTCCCCCGATTTGCACTCTCTTCACCTCTCTTCACCTCTCCACCTTTCTCCCTTTTTATGTCCTCCATCCCTCTTTCAGATGACTGCGAGAGTAAGGCCTGTGGTGAGCGAGGAGTGTGCGAGCATGACCCTGTCACTT